CCACCGCTGCCTGCACCTTCGCGGCGGCCATGGCCGGGGCTGGAGCCGGGGCTGGAGCCGGGCAGGGCGCGGGGACGGGCGGCAGCGCCAGGGGCTTTGTACCCCCCCGCACCGGCCACAGCCGGTCCCGGCCCGTCGGGGCAGCCCCGCCCGCAGCCCCGTGTTGGCTGTAAACACCGTGAGGGAGCGGCGGGACCGCCCCCCCACACCCCCCCCAGCCCCTCACCCGGGCGGTGGGGCGGGGGGGTAAAGGGAAGGGTAAGCCTAAAGGTAATGGTGGGGATGGGGGATAGGGATAGGGTGGGATTAGGGCGGAGACAAGGTGTGGGTAAAGGTGGGGTTTGGGGCAACATTAGGGGCAGGGGAAAGGGTGTAAGGGTAGGGGTATGGGTAGGGGTAAGGGTAAGGGTAAGGGGTCTGCACCCCCACACACACACTGCTGCAGCCTCAGAGCAGGGCTGGAATCAGGCCCGGGGGCAGGGGAGGCTGGAGTGAGGTGTGATGGGTGGTTGTGGGGCGTAGAATCACGGAATGGTTTAGGTCGGAAGGGACCTTAAAGTTCCAAGCCCCCTGCCACGGCAGGTCATCTCCCACTAGCCCAGGCTCTGGGATGGGGGCCTGTGGCTGCTGGGGAAGGGGTGGTGAGTGTCCTATGGTGGGGGGTGTGGGAGTGCAGCTGGAGGGAGCAGGAGTGTGTACTGGAGGTATCTCCCAGTGCACTTGCACGGAGGGAGCTCTGAGGGTGCATGGAGGTCAGGAAGAGGAGGCGAGGAAGGGCTTCAAAATACCTCCCTGCAAAGCCACCCACTAAAGGTTGCTGGTACCAGGAGAGCCGTGGATGCGGAGTGACTCAGCCGTGGCTCCCGAAGGCAATGGAGGAGGAGGAAGCAGGCAGGAGGCAGGACATAATTTTATTAACTATTAGAAACCATAAGAAACCACATTATTCATTAAAGATTTACATCCAGTACTTTTTTAAACTTTTTTTTTTTTTTTTCAAATTGTACAAGTCCAGAGGAGCTGCTGGAGGCGAGCAGAGCAGGGTGAGCTGTGGCAAGCCGGCTTCCCTGCAGGACCTTCCTAAATCCCCCCGGGACAGCTTCACTGGGGACATCTGCTTTGGGAGAAGAGACTTTGGAGAAGCAGCAGCTTTGGGTCAGACTTGCGGTCTTTGTGAAAGCAGCATTTGGGTATAAATTTGTGGAAAGTACTTGCCGTTTCATTGCAGGGCAGCCCGTGGCCTCCCTGCCTCGCTTTCCACCTCTCCCTCTGGCTGCTGAGCAGTGGGAGGAGGATGTAGGAGACCCAGAGCTGGGCAAACACACTGGGGACCCACTGAAACTCTCAGGCTTTGGGGGCTCTTTTGAAAACACAATTGAACCTTGCTATCTCTGAAATGTCCCCAAAACCTCCTCCACCTGTGAAGGTGCAAGGAGGCCACTTCTCCATCAAACCAGACCAAGGTTCCTCCCAGTGAGCCCAGGGTGGGAGGAACCGGGGTCCAACAGCCTCAGAAAATTCCCGCAGTTCAGCCACTCCCAGGGAAAAGAGGGAAAACCAAAGCAAAACCAGTCCCGGGGGAGGTTTGGAGGCAGGATCCCCCTGTCTTGGCACAGCCAGGTGGGCACAGCTTCCCTGCTGCCTGCTCTGCCTGCCTCGGCTCACTGTCTTTAAATACCACGTTTGCAGACTGGGGAAGGATAAAGAATGGCAATATAAATATAAATTAAGTGATGAGGGAAAGGGAGAAGGTCATTGTCCTGTCAAAAGTCCAAAACCTCAGTCAAACACGTCATTGGGGTGTCGGGGTTTGAGCACCCCGGGGCACCAGGAGGATCCAGCAAATACCACATTTAGGTAGGGAGGTGTTGGCAGCAAGCTGTGGTCTGAGCTGGGCCGGGAGAGGGGAGCTCATCACCATGAACCAGACTCCGTCCCTGCTTTCTACATCCCCGGGCAAACCCTGCTGCAGTTTCCCCACCTGCTGACCCCTCCTGAGCCCCGCAGAGCAGCGCCAGACCTAAGGGCTCGCTCCCATAAAGTGCTCCAGATGTGAGGTGATCAATAAATACTATTTCATAGAAATGCTTGATTTAAAGGAGAAATAAAAATCACTGATACCTTTTCATAAAATCGTTTATTTTAAATATTGCCCTGTAAAACCCTGGGAACACACGGGCTAGCAGCTGTGTCCCCCTTAGGGACCAGGCCCTTCAGACCAGCAGCCTGAGCGGGGGTCTGCAGCCCATGCAGTGATGCTCAGCTGGTGCCAGGCTGGGGAGTTGCTCAGTGATAATTATCGTTATTATACATTAAACCACAGCAGGAAGATGCGGGAGCCCCTCAGGTTAGGAAGGGGGGAAGAGCCCCATGGCAGGTCCTGGGTACTGGTAGGGGGCTCAGGGTAGCACCCCGCTCCTGCCACAGCGATGTCTCTGCAGGGTGTCCTGCTAGGGCTGTGCCACCAGAGCATCCTGCCAAGCAATGCCACCACAGGGTACCCTGCCAAGGCGATGCTGACACCACAGAAGGACCAGATTGCCCAGTGTAGAGGCCCCTCAGCAGATGCCAGGGGTACCATGCTGTCCCTTTCCTCAGGGATCACCTCAAGCAATGCCCCTCTTGTTTGCCAGCAGGGGCTCCAAGCCCGCTATCAGCCCTCTGGAGCTCGTTCACCCCACAACATCCCTAACCTTGCCCTGCCAGAGAACAACCCTGGCACCAGATACCTGAGGCCAAATCCCACCCTGCGGGAAGCCATCGTCACCCTCTGGGATCAGGGTGTCGAGGTGAGAAGAACATCTGGGGCCACCTGAGGGTCAGGGCAGGGCTCTCCCTCTGCAGGCAGTGGGTGCTCGGCACCTCTCAGGGTTGGACCATGGTGCTGCTGGATAATGGGAGCAAAGGGAGGATTGCTGCTAAGCCAGTGTTCAGGATGGGGCTCACTGCAGTGCCAGTGCTGAGCACCCAGCACCCCAGGACAGGGCTGAGGGTTCTTCACACTCCTGCTGATGGCAAAGAGCCCCCCTGGTTCAACCTGACTCAGAGGGACAGAGCCCAGCTTCACAACTGCCCACGCGTTCACAAACCCTCAGTTGGGGGGCAAGATGGTGGCCTGGCCCCAGCTCACCATAGCATCCCCAAGGAGGTCATGAGCCTCCTTCAGCATCCTTGGGCATATGCCAGGGTGGAACAGCACCAAAATGTGGTCTGGGACAGTGTTTTGGCTCTGCACAAGCAGGCGGGGAGGAGCCTGAGGATGTCTCAAGAGTCAGAGCGGCCACTTGCTCCTGAGCATAGGGATCACTGGTGCAGGGGGATGAAGAGGTCACCACCACCATCAATCCCCAACATCTCCCCGTCCCTCGGAAGACAAGCATCCCATGGGAGCAGTGCTCCCTGCCGGCAGAGGGGACCTGGATCCCACAGCCACCAGGATGCTCCAAGACAACCTCAGCCAAAACACAAAGCCCTTTGCAGGTGGGGAAACCGAGGCCCAACACTTGCCCAGGGACACCAGGGCTGGACAAAGACCCCTGTCCTTTCCCTTTCAGGGTACCCTCCTGCTCCCTGGAGCTTTGGCAGTGACCTCAACACCGTGGGTCCTGGGGTGACAGTCCAGCAACCCCCCAGCAATCCCCCTGGAGCTGCTTCTCTCCCAGCCCACACAGCAAGACCACAGCATCGCCTCCCAAACCCTGAACGGGTGATACCTGGAGTGGGGAGGTGGCCCTGGCAGATCCAGCGGTGTCAGCGAGGGACGGGACAGTGCTGGTGACACGGGACACCCGGGGACATCCCCAGGCATGACCAGGTTCAGTGTCAGCCCCGGGGGCGAGAAGTTGCAGGGTGTCATCCACGGCTGTATTGGTGCGGCTGGGGTAGAGGGGCCAGGCGTGCACGCTCACACACGTGTGTGCACACTCGCACACACACCCGGATGGGCAGTAAACCATCTTCCACATCCCACTTGCCAAATCAAACCCCGGTGCGGGGCGCGGGGTGCGTGGGGGCCGCAGGGATGGGGGCAGGGGGGAGACCTTTTGACACTCATTTTGATTTAAGGGCTTGGCTTCTTGCTGGGTATAGAATTGTCTTTCCTTTCCAGCCGCGTGTAAGGCTCAAAAGCAGAAGTGCCCAGTCCGTAAGTGCCCGGGAGGTCATGCAGGCTGCCCAGGAGCGGCCCCCCAAAGCACAGCGGGGCGGCCGGCAGCCTGGGCGAGGAGGAGGAAGAGGAGGAGGAGGCGAGAGAAGGGACCTGCAGGCTGAAGACTCCGGGCCCTGGGGGGCTGTTCCCGCTGCCGAGCCCGGGGGAGGTGGTTCCCGGGGTGCCCAAGCTGGATCCGTTGCCCGTAGGACTGCCGATGGGGTTGGAGGTGGGAGAGAGGAGGCTGGGGGGGGCCGGGACGGAGAGGAGCCGGCCTTGCTCCAGCAGCCGGAGGATGTTGCAGGTGGCAAAGGACTCGGAGGTGGCGGTGGAGCGTTTCTCAGAGTCCCTGCTCTGGTCCTTCTTCTGCTTGGTGCGTCGGTTCTGGAACCAGACCTTGACCTGGGGGGGGAGGGAGCGGGGGGACAGGGTAGAGGGACAGAAAGGCACGGACGGAAAGAGAGCACGGGGGAGCCAGGGAAAGAGAGGTGAGAACCAGGAGAGAGTGAGAGATACGAGAGAGAGATGTATTAAAATAAATGCCCAAGCGAGATCCATCACCCACCACGGGGACTGCGGAGAAGTAGCTCCCGCCTGCCGCTTCCAGGGAAATGGCAAAATCCTGCAGGTGCCAGGAGGGAGCAGGACAGGAGCCCGGGAGTGGGAGCCCAGGGATGGGAGCCTGGGGACAGAAGCCCACAGTGGGACACCAGGGTAGGAGCCTGGAGCCAGGAACCACCCCGCTGCTGCCCAGCTCTGCCCTGGGCTGGCTCTCCCCGGGGGAGCTGAGCTATGGGATATGCTGGGTTCTCCTCTGTGACGGTCTTCAAACCCAAGTTTGTGTTCCCATCCTTCCAGGTCGAGACACAGGGCAGGATGGAGGGTGCCTGGCCTTGCTACAGTGCTGGGGAACATGCTAGGGAACAGGCTGTCTTCTGGTGGCCCTGGATGTCTGGGCACAGACCTGCTTCTGTGCCTGAACCCAGATGGGGACATCCCTACCCCAACCTGCCGCTGGCCAAAGTAAGGAGCAAGCCCAGACTGAGGCCCCGTGGGACACCCTCTGCCCCTGACTCGCCAGGTGGGACATGGTCCCTGGTCCCTAACCCGCAGCTCTTGTCCCCCTGCAGCTGCCCCCGTGTCCCCTAATCTCTCCCCTGGGAGGGCAGCCCCCCGCTTCTGTCCCTCCCTGACAGAGCAGAGGGGTAGGAGAGGCAGAGAGAGAGACAGAGAGAGGCGTGAGGGACAGACAGACGGATGGAGATGGAGGTGAGGGAAGGAGATGGATGGGAAGACACTCAGATTAGAGCGTGGCGGACGGGAGTGGACGAGTCGGGCGCTGGCCGGGACCCCGGGAGTCAACTCCAGCACATCGGCACAGGCTTCGTCCCCATCTGCTCCGGGTCTCGAACTCATCCGAGTCATCGGAAACTCACTGGAGCAGGTCAGTCGCTCAGTGACACGGCCCTCGCGCATCCCCCGGCACAATAGACCCACAGTACAGAGCTAATGGAGCGTGGGGGTGGAGGAGGTCTCAGCCCCTTGGCCCCTTTCCGGGGACATAATAGCGGAGCTGACGCCTGGGCGAAGCTGGACGGAGGCTGGGGATGCTCGGGGAGGAGCTGCTCCCCAGCAGTGAGGGGACACTAGGACCATGGGACTGAGCTAATATCCCACAGCCAAAACCTGCTGGGACCACGGGCCACTGCCAGCCCACATCCTACCCCCCCTTACCCACAGGGTCCCACATGGAACCTATAGTGGACGTTCCGGGCCCATCCATGCCTTGGCCCTGCATAGGGAACCCTGGATCTCTAATTGCCACCAGGACTGCTGGGCCCACGTCACAGCCCAGCTGGGTCTCCAGGGCTGATGTCCCCTCCCTGCTGTCCCCATCAGTCTCTCCATGCCAGTGGGATGGGTTTGGGCAGGGCTGTGTTCTCCGGTGGTCCCGTGATGCAGAACTAGCAGCCCACCAGCTTTTCTGGTGGAGACCTCCTCAAGCTGCCAAATTCTGGGGAACGGAGAGCCCCACAGCACAGGCTTTGAGTGGGACTCCCACATCCCCACAACCCTATGTCATTATTGACATCTTAACAAAGATCCTCTATCAGTCCACACAGAAACACACAGCCCCAGCATTCTCTGCTCAAAACATCTCCCAGCCACCCAACTCTGGAAGAGCAAGAGCTCAAAAAAAAAGCCCTCAGCATGATTATGTCCTTAAGGATGGGCATAAAGCCCCTAAAAGCTGCCCTCAAGCCGCATTTTTCCAGCCCAGCCAGATGCACAGCATGAGGTGGCAGCGGGTTCCTTGTCTCCTCAGCAGGGAAGGTGCACCAGCACCTACCCTTCCCACACCCAGCACTCCCTGAAACCCAGCTCCTAACATGGCAGGAGGAGGCCACAGGATACAGAATCCCACAATCATAGAATGGTTTCAATCGGAAGGGACCTTTAAAGGCCATCCTGTCCAAGCCCCCTGCGATCAGCAGGGGCATCTTCAACTAGGTCAGGTTGCTCACAGCCTTGTCCAACCTAACCTCGAATGTTTCCAGGGATGGGGCATCTGCCACCTCTCTGGGGAACCTAGTCCCGTGTTTCACCACCCTTATCATAAAAAATTTCTTCCTTATATCTAGTCTGACATCATGCCGAGCAGCACGAGCCAGGGCAGGGTGCCAGTCCATCGGTTATCACTCTTACTGACTTTGGAGCAAGCTACCTGAGCAGAGGAACAGCCCCGCCACTGCACATCAGAGAAGGGCAAGCAGAGACATCAGGGCATCCTGCAGAAGGAAGGATCAAGCCCCAAGGGATGAGGCAGGTGCAGCATGCTCCCGCTCTGCAGCACCACAGCTGGTGCAGCCAAGAGGAACAGCCATGAGGAGTCAGGGGTTTTCCTAACACAAAGACTAGCAGGCATCAGGTGTGGCCACCAGGTAGCGGCTGGAAACCTGAGCAAGGCAGGAGGCAGAGCTTCTCTAGGCAGCACAGATGGTGTTAGTCCCTGCTGCAGGGTGCCCTGGAAGCCAAAATGCAAGTGGCTGAAGAAGGGAGTTGGAAAAATTGCAGGAGAACATATCCATCAAGATTTAACATGATGATCAGACTAGATATACCTCCTCATGGTGAGAGCTCTGCAAGATGCCAGTGGCTGCAAAGATACGGCAAGAACTGGACCACTTTACACCCCACATACTATTCTCTCTACTCCTCCACCACTGACCACCAGTAGAGACAGGGTCCTCAGCCCTGGTGTCCCCTAAGGTCAGCTCTTATGTTCTGGTTGTCTTCTACAGGTTGTGAAAAATGAACACAGCTCCATAAAAGCAAAGGGCCCTTGTCAGGGTCTCCATAGGTCTATTCGATTCCCCCTCCACTTCTGGCTTCCTGTGGGGAGTTCATTTTTTCTGGGTGTTTTGGCTTTTGTTCCATATTGGGTCTGTGCTGCTGCCTCTCCTGGGAGCTCTTGGTCAGCTGGGGAGTAGCTTTGAGGGGCAGCAGTCATCTGTTTAGGTATGACACTGAATGCCAACAATTAATAACAGTACAGACGGGCAAGTCCAATAAATAGATCGATATAAATTGAAGTAGATATCGATGTGCATGAATTTCTGGTGGTGAAAGCCAGTTCCACACCACCAGGGACAGGAGGGGAAACTGTAAAGGACAGGAGGGAGAAAGGGTTGAGATGACACTGGTCTCAAACATCCCAACATGGGATTTAGCTGGGGAAGGGCGGCAATATGGTCCTCGGTGGAAGAGGACCCGTTGGGTTCCTCCTTCCCAGCGCTTCTGCTGGAAGATCGTCTAAGCGCTGAGCCCCTTCCCAGCCTGGATATCCTCTGCTCTCACTCCTCTTTCACTGGGACTGGCTGGTGCCACTGGTGATGGTTGCATCTCCGTTTATAGCTATAGACATAAACTTTCTGTAGCCCTCCCTGCCTTTGTTCTACATCTGATCCTCTTGCAGGAGCTTCTCCCATCCTCAACCCACCTCTGCAGCTCCTCTCTGTGCCCATCATCCTTGAACGCCATGACCCAAGCCGAATGTACTATGCTAAATATGGTTTCCTCATGCCTCCTAGACTGACATGAGCTCTTCCCCATCTGCACTGGTGACATATCAGATGAGCAGGATCACATTTGCCTTCATGGCTAAAGTTCATATACAGCTTGTCATTAATTAGTAGATCCATGTCCTTTTCATCCTCCATTATGATCAAGCCCTGAGTTCCTATCATTGGAGATGTAAATAAGCTCAGCCAGATGCAGTCCTTGACAAGTCCATGAGTAATTTCCCTCCAGCCTTGATCCTTCGTCTTTCAGTAATATCCTCCACCATGTCCCCTCGATTACAGTTTCTGCTCCACACTGAAGGTTCTGTATTCATCTTTTGCTCTGGTTTCATTCACAGTTCCCCATCAGCCACCATAGCCAGCATTCTGCCAAAGTCTGCTTTGATACAATTGCTTTCATTTCTTTCTCTAAAAAAGCAGCTTTCTTCCTCGTCCAGGTTACTGGGTGAACTGGTGCATGCTTGTGGCATGGCAATGACACCCTTCCCAGTCGGGCCTGGAGGAAGGGCAGGGAGGACCATGCTGGCACATCCCTGGTGGGCACCATATCTCCAGCATCCATGGAGGTGGTAACGTAGTCCTGTGTGTGATGTTTTGTTTCTCAGTTTCTTATTTACCAACATGGTGAGCTACAGTAATAACTGAAGGGCTCTGGGAGGAAACTAACCACCTCCAGCTCTCCTGCCAGACTGGGGGTGGGAAGAAGAAAGTGAGACCAAGGGCACCCTTTCCATAGGAATGGAAAAAAAGGCCAGTTCACAGATGTGTCCCTCTGGGGGACAGCCAGGACATCTGGGGAGGACAAGGGGAGGCAGAGATAAGCCTGCTCCTGCTGCAGAGGAGTCCCAGGAAGAGCCCACGGCTCCTGGCGGCTGCAAGACCCCTGCCTGGGGCTATGGGATCCAGGACCACACATGACAGACCAGTCAGGTCAAGCCTGGATGCAACAGCAAGCATTTGAATGTGACTGAAGAGCAGGACATGAGAGGTCATGCATTCACCAGAAAAGGAAAGTGACTCTCAGAGGACAGGGAGGAGGCAAGCCGTACAGAAGAGATGACTCTGAAAGCCCAAGGAAACATGGCACGCAAGAAGCAGCATGATGCTGAAGGTATGAGGATAAGCACAATCTGCAGATTTATAAATGTATATGAGTGTTTGGAGAAGGAGTCCTGGTGCTGGATATTCAACCAGTTACTGTGACCAGGTCTAGTGTCTACCTTTCCATAAGGTAAGTGCCAGCCTGAAGAGATGTCAGGATGTCGCAATCTGGAAATTCCACTTTGCTCAGTCTCTGCAGCAGGAGAGAGACTGGTAAGA